TTATCACTATGCGTTGGACAAGAACAGATGTAGATTACTTTCAGAGTAGCAAAAACACAAATAAAAAGTTTTACTGGCATCATTGCTTAAATCCATTCTCAATGGAAAAGGCATATATCAAGCATTTGGAAAAAGGTTGTATGGCATCAGAAGGGCAGCAAACCAAAACGCCTCATAAAGGTAGTTATATTGAATTTGAAAAACATAACACTAAATTACCGTGTCCTTTTGTAATCTATGGAGATTTTGAATGTCTAACCACTAACTCCAACAATGGTATAAAAGGCACATATCAGGAACATAAACCGTGCGGTTATATGTTGAATGTAGTAAGCAGGATTGATAATACATGCCAACCATACTTATACAGAGATGAGGATTGTATGAAAAAGTTTGTAGAACAACTGACTGAAATTAAGAAAGATATATTTGAAAAGATGAATGTTAATAAACCAATGGAAATTACATACGAACAAGAATTAGAGTTTAGAAAAGCAACTCACTGCTCAATATGTAATAAGAAATTCCAACCTGATGATGAGAAAGTCCGCGACCACTGCCACTTCACAGGTAAATACAGAGGCGCAGCGCATGTAAAATGTAATTTAGATTATGCATTTAAGTTTTTTAAAAGCCCAATATGTTTTCATAACCTAAAAAACTATGATGATCAGTTAGTCATTGCTAAAGCAAATGAATTGAACATAGAATCGAATGAAAACAAAAGGATAGATGTAATAGCACAAAACAGTGAAACGGTTATAACCTTTTCATTTGGTGCTTGTCAGTTTAAGGACAGTTTTGCTTTTCTATCAGCATCACTGGACAAATTAGTCAGACTAAATAAAGATGAAGGAAATGAAAAAGTAAACGAATGGGAAAATCACTTCAGATATACAAAAACAAATCCATATATCAAGTCTAAAACTGATTTAGATTTACTAACTGATAAAGGAATAGACCCATTCATTTGATAAATTTGATGAAGAACAACTACCAAGTAAGGAACACTTCTATAGTCAGTTGTATGACGAACATATCACGGATAGAGATTGTGATAGGGCAAATGTTGTATGGAAACACTTTAATATAAAAAACCTTGGTGAATACCATGATTTGTATTTGATGACCGATGTTTATTTGCTGACTGATGTTTTTGAAAACTTCAGGGATATGTGCTTAAACCATTATGGTTTAGACCCAGCATATTATATAACTTTGCCTAATTATTCTTGGAATGCCTTTTTATCACTAACAGGAGTTAGACTTCAACAAATCCACATCAAAGAAATGTATGAGATGATTGAAAACGGACTGAGAGGAGGGATGACACAATGCTCATACAAAAAAGTAGAAGCAAACAACAGATATATGAATGAATAATGTGATAAATCTAAACCATCAAGTTATATCAGTTATTTGGATGCTGATAACTTGTATGGTTTAGCAATGTGTAAGAAACTGCCTTATGATAATTTCAAATGCCACTACAACAAAATTGATGAAAAGAAAATCTTGAATTACACCGATGATGATGAAATAGGTTATGAAGTTGATTTAGAATATCCAAAAGAAATTCACGACTTCCACAAGGACTACCCATTAGCACCTCAAATTATGAATATTAATGAGAATATGCTTTCTCAAGTTCAAAAGGATATTCATAAATACGATTATGGAAAAGAAGCAACTGACGAGAAAACAAACAAATTAGTATTAAATGTTATGGATAAAAATAAATATGTATTACACATATCCGCCTTGAAATTCTTTCTACAACACGGTTTGAAACCAAAGAAAGTCCATAGAGCAATAAGTTTCAAACAAGCACACTTCTTAAAACCTTTCATTGAATTCAACACTGAGAAGAGAAAACAAGCAAAGAATGATTTTGAAAAGGACTTGTTTAAATTAGTGAATAATTATGTTTATGGTAAAATTATGGAAAATATTAGAAAGCACGGTGATTTTGAGTTGGTTAATACTGCTGAACGCTTTCAAAAACTGGTAAATAACCCAACATACAAACACCAATACATTATAAATGATGAACTTGTAATAGTTGAAAAGGATAAACAAACAATAGCGTTAAACAAACCTATCTATATGGGTATGTCTATTTTAGACTATTCTAAAATTCACACTCTATATATTTTATTAAGTCATTTAATCTTTTAGTAGTTTTTATGTGAATGATATTTTGTTCTTTGAATTTGTATGTATTTAGGTCTTCTGTTCTGTTCTTTGTATTGTTGGTTTGTTGTTCTGTTTTTCTGGGAAGTGTTTGATAAGAATTCTTAGGAAATACATTCAAGAAAATGATATCTTATATGTTGATGGATAGATTTTGTAGATATTGTGTCAAAGATTTACCTATTGATAATGTTGAAGAAGGGCTTAAAACTTGTAAAAAAATGCTTAGAATATAAAAGAGCAAACGTGATAAACATAGAGATAAAGTAAATGAAGCACAAAGAAAAAGATATTAAGAAGATGAAGAATATAGAAAAAATAAACTGGAACAAAACCATAAACTTAATCTAAAAACCCATTACCTGTTCTGTTTGTAATTGTTCAATAAGGCAACAATGTTACTCAAGACATCTTAAAACAAATAAGCATCAAAGAAATTTAGGCAATGGTCAGTAGATAGGATTTGATAAAAATGAATAAGGTAATGATGCTTTGACTGCTTTGATTTGATAAATTGAATAAGGTAATGATGCTTTGACTGCTTTGATTTTGTAAATTGAATGAGGTAATGATGCTTTGACTGCTTTGATTTTGATATGGTTGATTAAAATGAAGAAATCAACCATATTAAAAATCTTGTTTTATCCTGTTTCATTTTATGTTCAAAAACTTCACTCAATCAACTGTAACTGTTTTAACATTTTTTGGGGGACCCCTCTTTACTAATCAGGATCCAACATTATAGGAAAAGTATGGAAAAGTTGGTGAACTCTGTTGGGCTTTTTGGGAGGCTCCCGCCATGTTCCAATCAACCCCAGACATGGAGTGGAGCATTAAACTTGGCAGTGAGAGTCTGCCCAAATCTGGGAGCTCTCCGTCTTCTCAAGGAAGAAAGCGCTGCCAATCCTGACTCAGTGGAATGAATGAAGACAAATGAAGCCATCCCTATGCATGGAAAGCCATGCATCAGGTTGCAGCTCCGAAATCCAGACCAAAGAAAATCGAAAACAAATGAATAATGAAAACCACACTTTCACAAGCCCTCCAACAGTTCCACAAAAATTCTCATTCACCCTCAACTGTTGCTACAAGTAGGGATTTCAAAGCACAACCTCAGCGCCACGGCATTGCATGGCATATCAGGGCATCTCTCAGAGACCAACCATTGGCAGAATGGCGGAGTAAGTGCCGAAGACAAAGAGGAAGAGGCCCAAGGCCAAGAAGGAAATGCTGAAGAGAATCTCTCGGCTGAACCAGGAAAAGCTCTGCTCCTTGCGCCTGAGTGCGATAATCCACATGGGAGGCACAATGAAACTGATGTAGGCTGATGCGAAAGCTCCAATGAAGTCCATAATCGTCCGCAAGCTAGTGATGACCACTGCAATCAGTACCACAAAGCAAACCGTGCATAAGGCGCCAGCAATGTCGTACCAGCGCGTCAAGCTGCGGCCAAAATAGACGACATCAGTCTCCTCACTGTCGGAGCTACGACCACGGAGCTTGCGCACCAAATAAGCCAAGAATTGCCGGATGGGATAGATGTGGAATTGGAAACAGGTGAGGACACTGAACATCACAGCCAGCAAGGAGATCAGGACTTGGATCTCCTTGCGCACAGGCATCAGGTCCAGGATCAACGAGTCCTTCTGGTTCTCTGCCACTCCAAAGGCCAAGACACCAACAATGGAGACAGAGGAATAGAGGAGGAAGCTCATGGAAGTGCTCAAGACCGCCACCTTTGTCATCCCCCTTGTGCTGGGCTCCGGCGTCAGCTCTCCAGTAAGCTGTGGGACATTGAACTGGTTGCAAAAAGCAAAGATCATGTTGTTGATGGCGTTCATGTAGGTGATCGGTGTGGCTTCTCCTGCACCCAGCAGGAAGCTCTCCATGGTGACACTCTCATCAGTGCCCCGATCACCCCAGTACCATGCCACCACGATCACCACCAGGATTAAGGCTCCAATGCTTAGGGCTGCCAGATGTCGCATGAACCCCACATGTCGAGCCAAAGCCATGGGACAACAAACAAAGATCCCCACCAAGACCACAAAGAGGTTTCGCATGGAGTGATCAGCCTGGAAGACCACCACAAAAACTTGCCCACAAACAATGAGGTAGCCTGCAGCAGCGCCCAGGCAATTGCAGACATTCATGAAGCCAGTAAAGAGGGACATTCCTGGGTGAAAGAGTTCCTCACAAACATCCTCAAAGCCCCATCTCTTGGTTGCGATCGAGGCCACGGAAATCATGCGGATGCTCATCACCGTCAGCAGCCCTCCAAGTACCAGACACACCAACTGGTACACAACCCCCACCTCCGCTGCATGCCCCGAGACTGAGAGCACCCCGGCGCCAATGGCAGCCTTGCTGAGGCAAATCGCGGTGGGCACCACACCACCCCGGCGGAAAGAGCTCTGCCGCTGAAGCTTTTCTGGTTGTGGCTTGATTGGCGAGTCGGTGGTAGAGGCTTCACTCACAGCGCTTTCCAAGTCTGCTACGGAAACGGCCTTTCCTTCCAGGGCCATAGTGAGTTCAAGCGGAGTTCTCGGCACAGACAGGGCGGCTCTTGAGATCAAAATTGCTAAATCTTGAAAGCAGCTCTGAAGGTCCAAACAGATACGGGCACGAACAACATCGTCTCGCTTGCATAGTGATCTTTTCTCGAAGTGAAGAGGGCCTTGCACAAATATCTTCCAGAATGCAAAAGCTTGGGGACGAGCCAGATCTACAAACTGAAGTGTTGTCTTAGAGTGTTTTCTTGGCTGCTCTGCCGTGTTCCGCTAGTCTCTTGCAACAGTGGGCCAAGCCTGGTTCTCCTCATCCAAGGCCTGCAGTCAATTTGTTCCAGCAAAAGTATCGATGAACAAGAAAACCAGTCACCCTTTCAGGTTTGCAAAATCATCTGTCTCTTTCATTGGCATATGGCACTTCGGGGAGATTTTGGCGATGGGCTTCTCCGAGACATGCCCCAGTCCCCTTTGCGGTCGGCATGGCGCCCTGCTTTGAAGGGGAAAACCAGGAAAGTGGTTCCCTTTTGGGCCCAAGCCCAGCTCGGCGACCCAACTCGAACAACCGAATCCAGCTGTGAAACAGGCCCCAAAAACACAGTTTTCCCCAGTCCAACAGTCGGTGATGGGGGTGTGCGGACCGCTGGGCTCGACACCCTGACTCGATCAAGTCGACACCCTGACCCCCAAGTGCTACTGTCACCGCTTGGCTTCAGCCCTTTTTTGCTCACTTGGCTTTCTTGGTCTCCTTGTCAGGAGCAACGCTGGCCAACCTGAGCAACTTGGGGCAAACTCTCCGGTTCCTCTCCGTGTTGCTCTCGGGCACCTTCCCTTCCTGGCCCAGTCACGCAGAGTCCAGCTTTTCGACAAAGCTCTTGGTCTCAGCGTTGGTGCCCCCACCTCAGGGTTTGCAGGGGGCTCTCAGGGACCGAAGGAGCTCTCGGAACCGAAGGAGATCAAGATGCCTTGGGACATTGGGGCACCTTCTGACTTGGGGCCATTCGTTCTTGGCAACTCACCACATGTCAATGTGCCTGACATTCAGAGCCTTCACCCAAACTCTGTTCTCATGGTTCAACATCCCTTCTCATCCGCAAAAGAAAAACAGAAACCAAACGACTCAAACCAATCAGCTCCCAGAAAATCAGCTCCTGGCCCAATGGCCAGCATCCCCTCCCAAACCAATTCATCCCATTCCCCCCGGGGTCGAACGAGCCACTTTCTCGTTTGCAGAACTCCCGGAAGCCATCGATGGACTCGAAGGGCCCCTGGGCCTCCTCCAAACTCTTGCCAAGTAGCTTCCTCACGACCGGCCGAAACCCAAACGACGGGGAGTCCACCTCCAGAGTTTTTCCGGAGAGTTGCCCCCGCAAAACCCCGGAGGCCCACCATCCCCAGCACTGGAGCTTCACCACTTGAGCTGAGGAAAAACAAGGCCCGGCCGCACATCGACACCGGCCAAAAATCGCACTCGCCAAACAGGGATGTGCGTCTGGATGGAGGCTTCTCGACACGGTGTCTCTGAAAGTCTGACAAAGAAGGGACTAGAGTTGAAGACGGATATTAACGAAGAAGGGACTAGAGTCTCTTTTTAAAAGCTTGCCAGGAAAAGTTCACTAGTAGATTATATAGCTGACAATGGTCAAGTGGTCAAGTAGGATATTAACCCATCTTTCCAGCGGCAGCAGCTCCAAACACTCCAACTCTGTGCTAAAACAGGAGCTGGGGAGCAAGAACAGAAGCAGGAACTGGGGTCCAGGAAACCACCCAGCTTCCAAGGTTCAAGGGTTCCAACATAACAGCATTGAAGGAGCCATCGGATGGGATTCGTGGCACACCAGTGTGCCACCCTGAAACCCCAAGAAAAGCAGAACACAAACACACGCAAAAGGGATTTAACACCTGAATCAACATACATACCCCAAGCCCCAAGCTTTTTGACCATAATACATCGCTGTTGCAAAAAAACGACATCGATCGGATCGGTTCAGCCTTGACCACCTACCGCATCCGAACACAGAAAAGCGACCGTCTCAGTCCGGACTTCTCCCTTCACAAACGTGACCTGGGCCTGACGGGCCTGAGCCCAACTCCTTCTTTGCTGAACAAAAAGAATCCCCACCTTCCAGAATTGGATCGCTGACCCTTGCAAGTAGAATCTTTGCCTTCTATGACCCCGACTCAGGGTCCTTTGGTGGGACTCACCGTTGTTTCAGGTTCCCTTGATGCCAAGTTACTGAAGACCTGCAGATTCCCATGTCTCTTTGTCCAGCGGAGCATCAGGTTTCTTGACTACTTCAAAGAGCCTCAATGTGAGTTTGGTGTGGAAGAGTTGGATGAACCCGTCTTGAATGGGGAATATCTGAGAAGTCGTCCATGTGTCCTGGACTAGTGCTGCAAATACCCTGACATTCGCTACGCGCAAAACGCGTATCTTTCGAGCAAGCTAAAGAGATCCAGTTGCCCCATTTCCCTGTCACTTATAATAGGAGATATTTGCCATCCAGCGGCTTCTTCTGCTTGTTCTCCAGCTCATCCATGAGGTGCAAGGTCACTCTCATGTATGGATACATAATATGTCGGACCTGCCAACATCCGACGCCAAGTCCATTCCAAGTCCATTCCACCCACCGCTCATGAGCTTGCCGCCGTTGGAATCTGAGCTGCCGACATGTAGAATCTGAATGACCTGAGCCAAGAACAGCTTCCCCCGCAATTTTCTGGCAGTCCTCCTGCAGTCCTTTGGATGATCGATATGGCACTTCTGCGGCCCAGCGACCATCAACACACAGGCCTGAAGAGTTGTGCTCAGGCCAAACAGGCCAAAAGGTTGAAGAAAAGACTTTGAAGCCCTTTTGCACAAAAGAAACTGCTTCATTCGGCTCAGCGGCCAGAAGGTTCGGTGCCTGAGTCACAGAGTTGATGGGTAGGTCTGTTTTTTGGCCAACAGGTCGCATCGAACCACCACTCTAGAGCCTACTTTGCCAGTTGACCGATTCAGGAGATCGAAAGTCACCAACCATCTATCGTGGAAGATGAAAAAACTGCCCAATGCTCACCAAAAACCTAAGCCAAATGTTAAGAACAAAAAAAGAACGCCTACCTACTAACAAAGAACGCTTTCAGCATGTCGGCCTATTTCTTGCCCTATTTTCTTCCATGGCACGGATCTTGGAAAATATGTCGTGGCACTGGCGTCGAAGATCGATGCATAGACCGGGCCAATGCCCTGGCCGCCAGTGCGAAGGACGGAACGGGACGGGACGGGCCAATGGATGTGTGGCCCAAGGAGCTCATTTCAGGAAGGCCCTCTACAGGAAGACCCCCAAGTCAGTCCAAGGCAGTCCAAGGGTCTTTGGATTGGACTGAAGAATCAGAGTTGATGTGTTGGGGTATTGCACAAACGCAAGGTTTTACAAGCTTGGAGAGGCCTTTGCACATAACTCCACGACCTCAGGAATTCATACAAGGACTTCCGTCAGTAGGAAATATGGCTTTGCTCTCGGATAAGACATGCTCGGGGTTGCCATGCCCAGAATGTAGCCGATGATCCATTGCACGCTCTTGAAGCGTGAGATCTCATCGGGCGTGGAAAATCGAGAATCAACGTATTCTTTCAGCGGCATGAAGCCTCACTTCAAGCACATGTCCTTTAAAGACTGAAACATCTTCCAGCATAATCAGACTTGAGCAAACGTGCGTATGCTCGTATGTTCGGAGACAGTTCAAGACTCTTCAGTCAAGTTGCCCCCGACGAGTGTAAAAGCCAGAAGCATCATCAGTGGCAGCGTTGCCGAAAATGCAATTGTGAGGTTCAGCAAGATCAAAACCTGAACTTGCACCAAGCAGATGGCAGCATGATGCGACGGAAAACAGCTAAGATCATCTAAGAGTAGCCATGAAGCCAACTGTCCGCACTAAGTCTCAAAACACAAACCAAAGCAAATTCCAAGGCGCACTATAGAGGTATACCAGAGAGACGGTCATCATGGTGGTGTAGCCAAGACGTAGGCACAAGCTGGGCACCACCCCCAAGAAGACCAAGAACAGCGGCTGGATCAAGATCAGCATCGTCACGGCACTCTGCGACCAGCCATGATAGGCCTCAAGGCTGAGGCGACTCGCACAGCCAAGCAACCCACTTCTGCAACTGGATGAGAACCGAAATGGCCTGTAACAGGGCCATCAGGGAGTTCTGAACTACTCCTTTGGACCGGTTCGAAAACGACTTACTTATGGGACAGCCCCATGGCAGGGCCGCAACTGAGATGGATGCCATCAGCTCGATGGGGATCATTCCCATGCAGTGCATCCAGCCTCGGATCCGAGCTCCCTCCCTCCGAATCGGCGAGGACTTCGGCGAGTTCGGCGGCTCGGAGCCACTCAAAACGACGCCAAAACAAGGAACGTGCCCCCATCCAGAGGAGAAAGAACCCAAGCGGCAGGGCTCGATGCACACCATCAGCAGAAACCGCCAGGACAAAGGATTGTAGTACACATCTCCTTGGGCAGAGTGCAAGCAGTGCGGAGACCCACAACCACATGATGCTTGACCTGCTTTCAGATTGATGTACTCCACAGGACGGGTTGCGAACCACTGCTGGACACTGTCATTCCCTCTATTCAAAAAATCAGCAAAAAAACATTCTATATAATTGACTTGTCCCCTGAGGAAGGTCGGTAGAACTCAGGGGAAATATCTCTGTGAGGTAGGTCGGTCTAGGTCACGCGACGCCAAAAGCACTCACACTCGATACTCAATGCCAAAGATCGATAAGAAACGATCTCTTTCACCACCTTCGAAAAAGCACTCAGAGGCTCCGCGTCTTTGGCATCTTTCCCATCTTTGGCATCTTTCTCGTCTTTCCTTAAGCTGGCCAACCCCAAATTCGGCCAAAAGCGTGCGATTCCAAAGGTTCGGCTGAGGATCTTAATGTGGCTGGGCTCCGGCATTACAAAGGCAGCTAGGCTGAGAACCGACAGGTTTATGGCGAAGATGATGATCCAAACCTCGCTGTTGGCTCAGACATGAAATCGCTGGACCAGAAGACTGGTGGATTTTCCACCAAGCCATGGTTCACTATGTTCACTCACTTCTCTCTCTCCCTCTCTCTCCCTCTCTCACTCCTCATACTCTCTCTCTCTCTACCCACCATTGGATTTTTAGGTTAAGAAAAATGTCTATAATAAAATCCAATGTTGGTCTCTTTCTTGTATCTCTCCTTCCATTTCATTACATTAAAAATAACAAATAAGAACTCATATTCTATACAGTAATGGTAGATTTAATGGTTGGTCTAATTTCATGTCTATTCGGGAAGAGATTCCATTTTAAAAAAATCATTCATGTCTCGCGTCGCCTCGCGTCGCGCGAGGCGGCGATCAATCCGAGCAATCCCCTGTGCTCACCATGAGGCAGTGTGGTAGTTCACCAACTCCAAGTACTGCACAAAGTTCCCCAGCACAGGACCCCATAGCAAGTTGCCCACGGTGTCCTGGTCCGTGTTTCCAATCGGCAACGCTGCGGCAACGCTCTCCCTATTGTGCTGCTCTCGCTCTATGGGTGTCATCACTTCGGTGAATGATAACCATTTCTGGTGATGAGTCATCATTCATCATCATCCGAGTCACCAAAAGGCCCTTGACCTGGAAAGTGGTCATGCCACCACCTTGCACAGAGATGTCGAAGATAACGAGGCCAGCGACATGATCGATCGGGAGGAAGCCCTGCCAGCCAGAAAGCAAATAGATATCATATGACAACTGAACACATACGAAAAACATGACATGCCTAGTCTGCTGACTGCATGGACAAAGAATTAATTTCTAGGCTCTAGAAAGCTTCGGGACCCGAGTCGCAGTCGCTGCTTGGCCTGCAATCCTTGCCCCATGACAAAGAGTGCTCGACTCCAGCTTGGCACAGCACATGCCAAAATAAACAACGCCTCAATTCGGAGGCCCAGCGGATGCATCGTTTCGGGGTCCAGCGGATGCATCGGCGCTGACGCTTCGTGCGTGGCGCACAAAAACCACCGGTCTTCCGCAGCGTCGATGGTCTTCCGCAGCGTCGATCGGGCCGTGTGTTTTCACACCCTCGGAACGAGTCCGTCTCTGGTCGTGAAGAAGCCAGCAGAGCTTTGGTCGAGTGACTCGCGTCTCTCATGAGATTCATGAGTCAAGGAATGTCCACGACTGGTGAGCTCACTTGGTGAAGAGTGAGAATGGTGCTGCTCTTCAAGCTGGATGCGAAAACACCGAACACGAGCCTTCATGATGCAATCATGACCATCGTTTTAAATCCTCGTCTTCTCTCCCCGAAACGGTTCTGTTGCACACAGCAAAAGGAACACACAATCGAGGTGGAAGGAGACCACATTTCACGCGAAATCGACCAATGATTTGGGACCCAAATCAGTGGCCCCCTGCTACATCAGCTGCAAGCCGTAATCGATCGATCCCCAACCTAACCGACCATGGCTTTGTTCAAGTCAGTGGTCAATAGCCACGTGGAGAAAGCTGAGACCTTGGGTCCAATTCCCCTAACTTCCCAGCGGCCACCGAGATCGTCGTCCCCAGAAGGCCAATCAGCAACACCGCTTTGCGCCCGAAGACGGAGCCTGCGACACCCGCTTTGCCCCGGTGCGTTGGACCACCGGCGCCCCAGTCCCCGCCGCACGTGGTGGGTCCGCTGCCCAAGGAGTTCCCCTAAGCACCCAGAGGAATCGTCCAGTTTCAGGGGGGAAGGTTTCGTGGACGTCGCCCATTCGGGCCCAAAAAACTCAAGGGCACCGGGGCCCCACTCTGGTGCGCCAGTCCGGGAGGCAGGAGGGGCCCGGTGGATGGAGGTTCGGATCCCATGCCCTGAAGGTGGAAAGGCGTCCAATGGACCGATGTGGGGTAGTTCATGAGTCAGAGTCATTGAAGTTCTGGTGCTACGACTGCAACACTTTCTGCAAGCCCTGCCTAGAACGGCAACCATGAAAATGGAGACCAGCATGGCAAAGCCTCAGCGCAGCATGGGTCTGGGATGGGTCGGCCCCCGAGCGAACCGAGCCGGGTCTGGAGCTGAGCCGTTCTCAAAGACTTTGAAAAGTGATTGAATTATACAAGCATAGACCCCAAGCAGCTTCAAAGCGATTCGTTTAGACCAATATTAGTCAAAAATCGATTTCTTGGTACGCCCTACCTTCACCCCAAGAGCAAACTGCTTCATCAATGAACTTTGTCGGCATTGACATCGCTATATGTTCGGCCACACTCCTCTCCAGTAAACCGGGCCACAGAGACCAGCCACAGAGTTCACGAACACGGCCAAGACAAGAGGACAAGACCCGGACACAGCACAGAGTTCAGGGGCGCGGCCAAGACAAGGCAAGAGGAGGACAAGAAGAGGACAAGGCCCAGCCACAGAGCCCAGCCACAGAGGACAAGAGGAGGACAAGGCCGGGACACAGAGCCCAGCCACAAAGGACAAGAGGAGGACAAGGCCTGGACACAGAGCCCAGCCACAGAGCCAGCCACGGAGGCGCGGCCAGTGAGTGTGGCCAGCTCTTTTTTCTAAGATAGAACCCCAACAGTAAACTGTTTGGGGAAAAAATTAAGAAATCTGTCAATAGTCCAGTCACCGTGCAATCTTCAATTCATAGGATCAGGTCAGAATGTGTTCTCTGAGCCGGAACAAGATCAGCCTTGATCACCTTGACCTCTCTCAAAGACTGGCACTTCTCAATGCTCAGTGTCAGATCTTCATGTCCTCCCAGTCAGTGGAGGGCTCCAGGCGTTCCTCCGCCTGGTCGAGGACCCCCCCCACCTCCTTCCTTTGGCACTCCCGCGGAGGAACGCCGTTCGCCTCTCCCGCCGTTCGCTCCCAACGTCACGTCCCAGTGGCTCTCTTGTGCCTGACCGCGTTGCGAGATGGAATACCTCAAGGGGAGGCTCTCCGGATCGAACCGAGCGCGGCGGAGAGCCACACGCGGAGGACCCGGAGGCTCGGACGACGTGCCGAAACTTGACCGGAACGCGGAAGTCAAAGTGTTCGCAGTTGATTTGATCATTGACCGCCCACAGCAAGCTTGGAAGTGGTGACTCCACAGCAAACTCAGTTTCTGGCATACATGTAAGCCCAACCTCTGGCCGAATTAGATAGCTCAGCCCAATCCCCCACCTTTTCATGGCATGGAGGGCTCCTTCCATCCGTCCTTTTCACCCAACTCTAGCCGCCGAGCTGCCCCACGTTGATCACTTCCAAGCGGTTGCCGCACCACTGCGAGCCAGTGTATTCTCCAGAGAGCACCTCCTAAACAAAGCAAATGCGTTTTCTGGAAGGCGCCCTGAGATTCTGGGCAAGCCACTCACCCCTTAAATACCAAGTCCTTCAAAATCCACTGGAAAGAACAAGGACGCCAAATTAACCCTCAGAGGGCGTTTTGCTAGTGAGGCTTCATGTGGCTTCATGACAAGCCAAAGCAGCAGAACTTGGTGAGCCAGGAGCCTAAATGATGCGGCAGACCAGCGGCACTCACGGGCGCGCCCGCGCCCCAAGATTTCACTCACCTGCGAACCCCCTACTTCGAGAATCCTCGGGGGCGGGTGACCTGGATGGTGGCGTGCAGAAACCATCATCTGATCATCTACACTTGTCTTCCAACCTGGACATGATGGGTTGGTTTCTGCAACACTGCTTGGGGTGCACGTACTCGCCCAGCATAAATAACTGAAGAATTCAGATGTCTCCAATATTTCGACTCAGTGAAGAAGGCTTCTCTCTGTGCAACACGCCCTGCTGCTCCTTTGAGGTGTACACCTGTGGGGTCTTATCAGAGGCTTTGCCCGCTGACAGCTGGGCGGCCCCCACCCAAAGATCTTAAGGTGCTCTGCGACGTGGCATGAAGCTGAACGTTCAGAGAAAACCCAAACAACATCCGCCGCGCTCCTCGCACGACACCAACGATCTGGCAAAGGCGATCTCCACTTGATTCACGAGATTCTTCATGCCATGTGCGAAGAAGAGGACTGCAAAGGTGGCCTTGGAGACCGGCATCATGAGCATCATGCGGACCACGGTGGGTCACTGCATGGTGTGTGTGGTGTTCCGACTCAAGAAAAAAACAAAACCATTGGCGTTGCAGGCACCCAGTGCGCTTTGATCTCATCTCCGAACCCCATGGCTCAAAACCCGGGGTTGCGCAACAGGGGGTGGCGTGTCGTTTTATGACCTGGTCATGGCTGCAGGCGAGCCGGGGCGCGGCCACATCGGTTGGAGGGTCGCAATGGAAGGTACAAAGAATGTATCTGTTCTCTGTTGGACGTACCGCATGCTTCTCAGTACGAGTACAACATGCTTCTGAGTTCACTCAACAATACCTAAAAACATGAGGGGGGGTGATGTGGATTCAAATAACAACACCCTGATGGGCCACCGGGGCGCATCCGCAAGGATTACCTTCCATCCAGCAGGGGAGTCGCCCACAGAAGGAAGCACCCAATCACCCATCCCTCACTCCATCCATCGCCTGGCAAGAGTTCAGCAAGGAGCGATTGCGAGTCACGAGGTCCTGAGGACGCCGCCCAGTCGGAAGGCCACGAACAAGAAATTCGCAGGCGAGGTCCCAAGAACGTCAGACCGATCAAGATCAGACCGATCAAGTATTATGAGGGTAAATAACGATAAACATCTTCATAGTTAGTATTAGTATTGTTAACTAAGAAACTTCAAACCTACAGTAGTGCCAATCAACAATCGTGCACATAATTAGTGTGCAAAATTGGTTGAAAAAATAGACAATTTTCTTGTACAAGTTGTCTGGACTTCAATAAAGCCTTAAAGCGTGTATTGTCCTTTTTGGAGGGTCCTTTTTCTCTACAGCAATGATATGGGTGTGTGATGGTATGTGTGTGTGAAAACATCCCCTTATGCCAACGACCTCCTTGTAGGAATGCACACCCAATAGGAAGAAGTCCAAGGTGACTTCAAAGGGCATGATTCGCATGTCCCTACTTTTGTGACAGTTGTGTGTTGTTTCTTTGTTCAGTTCTCTCAACAAAGAGCATTGAAGAAACCCACGAAAGGTGTGGCCCTGCCGCCCACGACCGAGGCTTTCGCAGAAAGCGTTTGTCAGCAGTGCGTGCACGAGCTCACCCTCGCCAACTCCTTCGTTTGTCGGAGATGGCCAAAGCCTCGGGACTAGTTGAATTAATGCAAAAGTGCGACCTTTTTCGGGGAAGACCCAATGTCTTCTCCTCCAAGGAGCATTGGCTGCGGGGAATTCCTTATGAATCCCCTGCATCGTGATGACGTGGGTGCCCTGAACAGCACCACTTGACAAGGATGCAAAAAGGCGTGCTTTGCTGAAGAGTCTTGGTCCTGCACGAGGAATTATATTATGATCGGCCCCAATCTGTAAAATGAATGACAATAGCAACCAACGATTGACTCACATTCTGGCAAAGCCCACATAGGACGAGCTCGGCAAACTTTTTTCAGTGCCATCTGTCAGCGCTCGTCTCTTCAAAGCCATCCGCATGAGCCTCAATGTTCGTTACGATGCCAAATGCCAGAAAAAGGAACGTCCGCAAATGACAGAGAAATGTTCAAATTCTTCAAATCTCTTCGCTCCAAATGCGTGGGCAGCTCAACAACCCAACTCTGACCCGTCAGCTCCCCGTCAGCTCCAAGCGACACATGGCCCGACTATCACCTGCTCCCTCAACCTTGATCTCGGGAGACGCCTGAGGCTCTCAAGAGAAGCGATAGGGCCGTCACCAGGCTCTTTGGGCCGTAAACGGGGCCCTCTTAGCATCTTTGGGTTTCATCATGTTTCCTCTACTTGTCCGGGTTTCCCGTGGTGTTTCCCGGAAATTCGACGCACCAACTCTATGAGACACCGACTCAAAATGTCTCACTCTGCCACGCCTTGTCTTCCCGAACGGATGCTGCTTCCTAGAAAAAACCGTCAGTGGATCAATCTAGACTCATCTAGACATGTCGATTCGTTGCTGAAAAAGCACGGGGTTCCCAGAATGTGCCATCATCCGTTTTTTCTTCGTTCGCATGGGATCAAAGAAGCTGAAATATGCCTACAGTACTGGATGCTGGTTAATCGTAAAGGCTGCTTGTTGGATTGACAAGCATCCATCTTCTTCAGATCTTCAATCTCCGTCCACTCGGTCTTGCCATCATCATACTTCCTCAGATTAGAACAAGAAATGTCAACTCCTGCCTTTCGCGCCCAAAATTTCTTGGGTACGTGCTTGGTGAGCTCTCGTTTCATTCCAAGCTTCACCAGCACATCGGTGGCAGTGTGCTGGAGCACCATTCCGCTCTGTCCACGCTTCATATGCGTGACCTCCGCGTTCCCAGGATGTCTAGTCTATCATTACTACTAGTAACAAGGGCATCGCTACTAGCAAATTCAAACCTAAAACCGGTACGACATGCCTGCATGCCCTTGCTCACATCCACCACATCGCCGGTGATCTCTTCCTTGTCCTGCAGGATCCAGGGAAGAACTACAAAGAGTCTCCATGGCTTCAAAGGACGTCTTCATCTGAGGTCTCAGTGTCAGCAGTCTTACCTCCCATCCGGGGGCACCCGCCCGCGGGTCGATCCCCCGGTCGCCGAGCCCCACCGGCTCCACGGGGCTCTGGGCACCGGACGCCGAGCCCCACCAGCTGTTTCAGTCCGTCCATGACCTGTGCTGCGGTGTGCGGAGCAGACCCCCCCGGGCGCCGAGATAGCCGCGGCGATCCCCGCGCCCCAAAGCAGGGAAGCTGCTGATGGGGACCCAAGGTGAGCTCATGAAGAAGCTGGTGGTGACGTAAATGCAGCGATCGCCAGTAGGACAAAGGCCGCACAAAGCGCTTGAGCCCCAGCCCTGCTCATTAAGCTCGTGGCTGTCTCTCCAATGGTTGCTTCCTGTGAAATCCAATTTCGGATTAACTTGCAGCCGGAAAGAACATTACAATTACAACTTGTACCAGAAAGCAGCACACGTCCTGCTTGGGTGTTGCATCCTTCTTCTCCTCCACCTGTCATGTGTCAGAGTTCCTGGATTGTTTGGCAGCAGATCCTCTGAAAGAAACAGAACTGTGATGGGAAGGTTGGCTTTCTCCGTGTGGATGTCGTCACAAGGGCCAGTTCACAAGTTCTAGTACACACCTTGGGCTCTTCCTTTTTCTCCTCTGGCTTGACTTCCTCCTTCTTGGCCTGTCAAAGAGGGGATAGGGCAGTGCCACTGTTCAAGCAGGCTCAAGCAGGGCAGGTGTATCACAGCTTTTGAACTACACCACTCTCGGACCTTCTGCACCATGGAAGTGTTCGCTGGGCAAACCCATGCAGCGGGGGGGGGGTCACGGACCTATCAAATCCTTCAGCATGGAGGGAAAGGGCACAGCAGAGAGCACACCTCCTGTGGAGGGCCAAACTGCTTTCAGGATCTTTCGGGTGAAGATTTGGGCCGATGGCTCCCGGGGTACCCGCCAACACGTCCCCCGCCACACGGCTCGGCACCTCTGGGGCCTTGGCCGCCTGCTTGGAACCAGTGCAGCCCATGTTCCTCAGCGGCCCGGACCGGAGGCAGCCCCGGAAAAGCGGGGAGGGGCCGCAAAGGGGCGCGTCTCATCCCTGGCGAAGCCCTTCCGTTCGACCATGAAAAGTGTTCGGTCAACACCTGGCGATCGTAGTCTTCAAATCCTTCGCAAAACAAGAGTTGCTCAGTAAACACGCGTGAACACCCATGATTGATCTATGGTGAATTCCGGAATCTAGCGGGGAAAAACGAAAGCCATGCAGTTCAATCCAACTCCTCGCCCACAGGCCTCATGCTTCCTTCCTGCGCTTCCGGATCGAAGTTCCGGCCGCCCAAGCACAGGCCGGAACTTGGATCAGTGGCACCATAAATGCCATCAAGCATCTTTGGAAGGGTTTGAGGTCACAGAGCAGACTCAGATTGAAGCTGGACTTGCTGCGGAGCGACACTCTTTCCCTTCGCTCGAGCTCGACCAGCTCGGGTGTTTTTGTGACTGAAAACCTGGTGTTTCCTGCCACCCGGGTGGAGCGTCTCGCTCTGAATCCGGTCCAGCTCCCCACGCAAAACCATGGCGAATCAAAAAGAACGCCACGATGGCGGCGTAAACCCTCGTTCGCACTGCCCTAGCGGGTTCGTTTCCTCGTTCGGCACAAAGGATCTTGCGGCGACCGGCGCAACGAAAGACTCCTGCACCGCTTTCTCTTTGGCACGCAAGCTCTTCATCAGCTTGTCAGCCTGATTCATCGGGCAGTCTGAGCATATCTGAGCATGTCTGAGCAAAACGATGAATGGAGCCAATGGAGCCAATGCCTTGTCTGCTGGCAAATGATGTAAAAGCTCCAGTGCAAGGTAATCAACCTCAGCAACACTGGCAGTCGAAAGCGAGTCAAGAATTTAAGAATGCAAGTCGAAGGCCTAGCAAACAAAACTTGAATCGAATTCTGCGACCACTTCAACTTCAATAGTCCAAAGAGTTCTCAGTGAACTCGCCGCAGGTGAAGCGCTTGTGCCAAACCACCAGCTGGACTGGCCTCCTCATCCTCTGCAAAGTCAGAGGGGTTTGAGATGGCTGAATGCCTTAGCTACATGTCACAGGTCCAAGGTATCCCTTCCAGAGAACCAGAAATTAATTAGCAAGGTGCGACTTAGAAAAAGCAACGAGAAGCTTCAAATGCTCTGGTTGGCTTTGCGGAAAGGGTCCGCAACTGATTTCTTGCCCAGATCTATCTGTCTGAGAGCGTTGTGGCTGAGAACGCAACACAGAGAGATTGTCTTCATCATCCTGGCAGAACGCGGTGCATGTTCACACGAGGACCAAACAACTACGGACCCACCACACACTCACGTTGATCCAGCTACATATAGTACATCATCTACAGATCATTACAAGTCTACATTAGGTGTCATCTTCACAATTCTGAGGCTCTTTGGGCAAGAACGACCCCAGTCTACCCCAGTCAATGCGAGCACGGCCGTGTTCCCCACCAGTTCCGCGTGGAACACTTCGAGGCCCCATGAAGCGTCACCCGAAGGTGGCGAAAAGCTGTGGTCAGACCAGAACAAGCGGCAAAAACCCAACGAAACTCGCCGGGCGGGGCTGAATCGATTAAGGTGTTGATCTCAGCCTCGAAACAGGAAGGAAGGAAAGAAACATGTGGCCTTCAGAGATTCAGCATGATGTGTGTTTTCATGTTTAAAAAAAAACAAAACATGCCTTCTGACTCTCTGAGGGGACACCAAAACACGTCAAAAGTGCCGAAAAGTACGTCCCGTTGGGCGGTGTGACAGACGACGAGTCCACGAGTCGGTCCCACGAGTCCAACGAGTCCAGGTGCCCAAGTGTCTGGCCATGGAAACCAAAGCGCCTTCTTTCCGCCCGTGCCCGTGACCCTCACATGACAAGTCGTTCTTCGTTTTCCCGAAAAGGACAGCGAAGCCTTGTCGGTTTTGTTGAACTAGTGGTGTCTCCGGAGAAACGTGACAGTCGATACTACGTGGCTGGTCAAACAAAAAGTCATGCCCGACTGCAGTCCTTGAGACTGTAGATTCTTGGACAAAGTCGCTTGTGGCTTAAGTTCTTCATGTTCTTCCGGTTTCTTCTGTCTGGGTCGTCTGTCTAAACAACTCTTAAGCCATTCAGCAGCGGGTCAGGCCGAGCGGTCCACACGGTGCGAGACGGGTCGGACGACTGGTGGACGGTGCATTTGGATCTAAACAGACTAAACAGGCACTTGATCTGGAGTGTGATTCGATGATTCTTCAGTCGACCTTCATGAAAAAAGAACTGCAAACATCGCCGGCAGAGCGACGCGCTGTCCGGCCCGTAGAAGAATCTGCCTTTGCTTCGCAACTGCCAGGACAGACACGTGTTTGCTCTTTTGTCGTTCGTCCACAGCGGTGTCTAGTTTGTCGACACGTATGAGAAAAGAACATTCCGCACGCCGTGGAAAAACTGCATGTTCTGGAACGATGCTTTGGAGGTGAGCAACAAAAGCCGATTGGATGGTTTCACTTGGCTGTGGGAACTGGTACCAGACCGATGGAGCAGGGGGTCGTGCCCTAGCTGGAAGATGCTGGAAGTACCTGGAAGTACCTGGTTTTTCGCGGTAAAAATGGTGGGCTCCCCACGACCCATTCCCACTTGTGGGAGTGGTCAAACTCCCATGGAGTGGACTTGTATAGACCCACAAAACCCCCTAAGAAGAAAAGCATCTATAGCTGCATACCAAAGACGTGACGAAATGATGCAATGAAAACGTGACCCATCGCAAGAAGCCTCGCAGCGCACGAGCCTTTTCGGGCGGAACAAATCCACTAAAGCTCTGTGCCACACGACTGAACGACCAGAGTTGATGTCGAGCAAGACGGTAGCAGGGCGACAAAGCGTGGCTTCCTTGACCAAGCTAAGCTAAGAATTTTCAGAATCATTGACCTACTCAGAGCTCATTGCGCTTCAGCGGATGGCCCTCGGTGTTCAGGAAGAGGTGATTCATGTCAAAAGCTGCCTCGGCGCGAAAGCGCACAAGTGGTTTCCACGCATCATCGGCTGCCAACCTGGATACACTCTGACTCACTAACATGGAAGTGGATGGCATGGACCCTTGGAAGACTATTTTCCCCTACAAACAAGGGTGGCTTTCCACTTCCATTCTTTTTCAGTGAGTGTACACGTTCCAAAATCAGCCACAAACTATCTTGTAGTGTAGAGGTGGAAATATGTCGAAATATTCATTGGACTTTAGACTAAAGCCCTGTGATACAGGGTGGTCAGCTTCTGTGTCACCAAGCGTCCCACAACACTACACTCGCTCATTTCTCAAGACATACTAGCTGCGTCCTTCCCCCCTTGCAGCCCTTGCGTTGATTCCAAGGCACAGCCGGCGAAAACAAGAGGAAAAGGTACTTGAAGGTCTCCTGTCAGGACGAAACGACGTCGTGTGGTCCTGCGATGATTCAGAGACCCACTGAGATTGCAGCTGCCATCACAAAGGTTTGCATCTCATCCATCGGTGACGTGGGGATCGCCTGGAGGCGTGGATTCCTTCCAAAACCGGCCCACACCAATCCAAACGGGAAGACTTGGATGGACTTAGCCTACCCTCTCCCAACATAGCATCAGCTTGCTCCACCAGGGAGGACGGGGAAGGAGCAAGGAAGGAAAAAGAGAAGGTGAGGCCAGGACAGCGACCGAGGGCACACCCAGGGGCTCTTGAGATCAGGGGAAAGGGTAGAAAAGGACGGGTCAAAGAACTGCACAAGGCAGAAATTCAGAACTGCACAAGGCAGGTGTTTTCATTCTTTAGAAATGTTGAAAGCACGAAACCTCTCCTCTCTCCTCTGCTGGCGCTGCTGGCCATACTCAACAGGCCAGCGGGTGGGACTAAATAGCTCTCCATGTATGGAACATGATAGAGGTCTGTGAAGCATAGAATCAAGGGTCGGTGGTGCACTGCGAAAGGAACATGACAAGCCCATTTCAAACGCCGCACGACCATTCCAGCACACCCTCTGACTGCCTTTACGTCGCGCACGGATGAGAAGCCGTGTGGAACCTACGAAGAAACCACGGCTGCATTGTGTAACACACATGTCTGGGGTTGATTGCAGAAACGTGCCTTGGCATGGTTGAGGATTGCTTGGAAGAGCTTGCTACCCCAACGGCGATACCTGCGTTGAGCCAGCAGAACTTTGAAACAACAAACGACATCAAAAGAGCCTCTCCAAAGTTTCGGGGTGCAGCGGGGCACTTTTCATCGCCCGTCAAGCGATAGAGGTAGAACAACGACTCCGCCTCGGTCGGAGGTGTCACGAGATCCCGCGATCGCTTCGTCCGCTTCGTCCCGCTTCGAACGCTTCGGTCTTCTGGTCCCCCCGAGCCGTCTCAGGTCGGAGAAAGGAATGTCGGCCGTTGGAAGAAGCCTGACAACATGGAAAGAAGCCAGAAGAGCTTTCGGCCTTTTTCTTCGTTCTTTTGGAGTCCAGCCTCGATAAACTTATGAGGAGCTTTTGAATTCACCTGGCAGGAGCCGGCAAGCGGACCAGAAAGACTGGAACCCTTTGGAACCCTTGACTCGGTAGAAGCAAAACGTTTCAGCAAATTCCATCCAACATCTCCGAAGACTTCAGGAGATGGCGATGACGGCGGAGATTGGACCCGAACCACCGGCACCCCGCAGGTTTTGGACCGCACCAATGCCGGCACCCGATCGGCGCGGATCCCACGCGGCCCGCACAGCGGCCTTGCTGAACTCGGGAGCCAAGCCGGTGGCTGAGGAGGCCCAAAGCTCAAAGCATGAGGCCGTCAAGCCTTCGGCTAAGCGCCACCAGGTGGCATTGCGACCCTTCTCCACCAGGTCATGCTGAGGCAGTTCCATCAGCCTCAGCTCCGATCCGCAGATGGCGCGGAGGGTTGATTTCAGCAAGATGTGTATAATGTATATTCTGTCCTACAATTACAGTATATGTTATAGGTTGGTGGCTTAGCTTCCTAGTCCGCTTTTCCATCTGGCAGGTCTCTCCTACCCCTTCCGCTTCTCCAAAATGCCTCGTGTTTCCGACCCAGTCAGCCAGCTCATCCAACCAGGGGCCCTATACAAGGCCGGCCTGTAGCGTAGGCCCCCGACCCAAGCGCGATCAATCCGGGAGCAAAGCAACTAAGGTGGTCCTGCATTCGAGCAGAATTGCAGATGTTTGAGGAGAAAGATCGCCCTACAGCACCTCGGGGGTATGTTCAAAACATGTGTTCAGCAATCCAGATTTGTAGAGATTACCTGCACTTGAAGAGACGTGATGTCGCCTTTCAAGGGTCCACGTTCAACTTCCAAGTGTTCTTTGAAGTCTCAAATTCATTCAAATTCTAATCTTTAGCCTTTAGCCTGCAGTGGCAAAAGCGGCTTGACTCACTTGAAAGAAGCCATCGGTCCATCTTCCAGTCTAGGCTGCCATCGGCTGTCATTTCGATCAGCTTGTAATGGACCACCCTGCCCTGCAAAGACATCACCAGCGTTGCTGAAAAACATGTCCCACAGACGAGTTGGGATGCAAAAGACACAATGAAACCTCAAAACGCTGTACCTTCATTTCATGGTCCACGCGGACCCGGAAAGAGATCGAAAAAGGAACTAAAGTTGAAAATGGTATTGATCAATTGGTTCGATCCCTGAATCATTTCCATTATAATCACCCAAAAGCATCACATACACTGCCTGGAATCATGATGGAGGTCGAAAACCACCCTCTCTTGTACGGAAAATGGTCATCCAAGGGCCACCTACCACTGCCATGCAAATTCCAGGCCTTCTCACTTCTGTTGCACAGGTCCGGTCCGCGACATCCAGTAGGTCCGCTGGTTTCCCCCGGTCCCCCCGGTCTGCTGTTGTCCCCCAAAACCCGGCCATCTGCTCTGTTTCGCTGGCTGAAGGAGATGGCCGTACGATGCCGGGTAAAGCATCCATGACCTCCAAAAAGAGCTCCTGAGCGCAGAACGATGTCGTCAAATACGGCCGTGTCGCTCGGTACGAGTTCAGCCGGCTGCCACGAGATCCGATCTTCGTTGTGACGACTGGGAAAGGGTCTCCCGGTGTTCACCAAAAAGAAGTCAGAGAAAATGTATTTGAATTCACCGGCGCAACATGAGCATTGAATTCACCGGCTTCAAGAAGCTCTGTCCTTGAAGTTCTTCTCCGACGGCCTCTGAAGCCATTGCTTTAGCAGGTACCTATGAAAGCCAAAGGCAAATCTGGTCCTCACTTCATGGCAACGTCTCCGAAAAAGGCGCACTCGTAGTAGGAGTCTGCCAGAGCCCCAAAAGCAAACTTTGAGGCCACTGCCTCGAGATGTGCGGTTTTACAAACTTAAAATAAACCAACAGCTGATGCCAATCATGAGTATTCTCTCATCAACTACCACAAATCGAACATCTCCCATCTGCCACACCGGACGAAAAGCCTGCCTGTACTTTTGCCATCCCTGGTGGAGAGAGAAAGACAGGTAGTATTCCAGGAATGCCAACGGATTGGACGGCCTCCCATATCGCAAGTCACAACTTCAAGTACTGCAAAGGCACTCACTCCACGAGCTGCGCATGCTGCGCATTTTTTCGAGAAGACCAGCTGGGCCTGAAAAGCTTTGTCAGCTGCACGTCGAAAACGAGCGTCTCCTGTCCTGGCCCAGGATAGAACAGGACAAGGTAGGTTAGTTCAAAAGTGTTCTGCAATGAAAACAGACTCATAGGAAAAAGAAACTGGGAAAAGAGACTCATGGGCCTTGCTGTCAGGCTGCGAAATTCTACCTGCAAGCTGCCAGCCTTCGAGAGAGCAAAACCAAACCAATCCTCTGTCTTGGGATGACGTTCCTTTTGAACAAGAGTCCTTTAAAATCCCTGTAATATCTTTTAATGTTTCCTGAGAATCAGTTTGTCAGCTTGGGCCACACAGGAGCTTCAGTTCATCTGCTGCGAACTCACTTCCAATTACCAAAGTGAATTATCGCTTCTCCCACATCTTTTGCTTCACGATGGCTCAGCAGTTCATTCACTCAAAATGGTCTCTTGATGTATGGCTCATACGATCAAAACATCGGTAGCTCAGGGACTGCCTCGGACAGGATGACTGGCTGAGTGCTCGTCTTGCTGGTGCCCCGTGCGAGGTTCACCGTCGGCCAGGGCATCCTGACCCGCTTCTGTCACGACGGCGCGGACGGGTCCGGGCCACACGGCGCCTGGAGGGTGACTGGAAGGCCGGCAGGAGGCGGCCTCCCAGTTCTTGTGCTCGCTCCAGGAAGATCTGGGCCAGAGAAGACCAACAAAGACCCAAGTCGCTCCCAATCTGCGGTCCCTGCGCCCGCTTCGGATTTCGTCCTCATGGGGCGCGATCCGTGGCGCGCGAGCCGCGGCGCGCCGGCCTCTTTGCCAGAGAGCGTGTGCGCCCCGAGCAGACCTCCCAGCCTTGGTGGGGGGGGCCGTCGCCGTCTTGGTGCGCTCACGCCCCAGAGATCGGAGGGACTGACAAGCGAACCGGAGCCAAACATGGTCTGTTCTTATTAAAAAGCAAGAGAGGTTCAGTGACCTTATAGGACCCTACTGGGGTACCTATGGGATAGTCTATAGGGTTCTTCAACCTCTGTTGAGGCACCCTAATGATCGCTCGAAAGCACCAATTTGGGCCCCCGTGCGCACGGATGGTGAGTTCGAAGACCGACACATCCGAGTCTGCGTTGTCAAAGTCAAGGTCATCCTTCACGAACCTCAAGCCCTGGCAGAGGGGCATTCATCAAAATCGGGATTCGAACCAAATGGATTGCCAGGGTTGTCAATCTGATATGGTTCTGGGAGAAACTCTTGCGGACACTTTCTACGCATCCCTTGCCCGTGTGAGCGGGTTTGGTAGGAGTTGGTACATAACAGGGAAAGTTCATCAAAAATCTGTCTATACCACAAAATGATCTTGGTATGTAACACTGTGCGCGCGCAGTAGATACCGCATGGACCACAAATGGTCATCGCTTCACATGTATCACAAATTTCGTCGACAAATCTTCTTGCGGCGGCCAGGGCCACGCCAACGCATCTCTCATTGCGCTGCTCGGCTTCTGCAACGAAGCTGCGGCTTCTGCGAGGTTTCAAAGAAAAAGAACCAAAAATCGGTGTTGGGCACTTAGAGTGCGGGACGTTTTTCTCTGCCTTCTCGAAGGCTTCGTCGAAGCCCATGAGCCACAGTGTGGTCAGGGAGTCCTTGACAGGAATGTGACCGCTACTCGATGACCGGGGAACGAACACGGAACGAAGACGGCCGACGAAGCGGCTGGGTGGGCCGGGCCAGGATGGTGAGGCCAAGACCACCGAAGGTGTTGCGCCCGAGCCTCAGAGAGGAACTTGGAGGAGAGGAAGAAGAGAAACTGCTCGTTTGGTCAAGAAGCAGTCCTCTTCTTTCATAAGATGTCACCTCAACACCGCACCTTCACCTGAATCACTGCGGGGCGACTCACATCTCTTCCAGGTTGCCAGCCGTGACACCGGCTGCAACTCATCCTTCCCCCAAGCATACCTAACAAAAAAAGCTGGCACGCCCAAGTCAACAGTTCTACACCCCCAGCAAAACCAGCAACGACAGTTCAACACATCGAACACGGGTCGTCCTACACGTTCACCACACTCGGAACGTGCGCGGAGAAGGCCTCTCATAGCCCTTCCAGGCATGAAGGAATGCCTCGCGCACCTGGCGTTTCAACGACGGAACTGAGAAGCTGTGTAAAAGGAGTTGCCAAAAAGACTAAATAATATATAGATAAGTCATGATAAGTCAGTCCTCGGATAGAGAACGCAGGACAGGAAGAACGGAATGAAAAAGTCAGACCCAAAAAGGAAAATTGTGAAAAGTTGAAATCTTTGTTGTAATATAATCATTGTTCTCTGTTGGGGGAACCCCACTTTGGACTCCAAACTCTAAAACATCCGCCGGCGCGTGGCGTGCCTCGTCCGCTTTCGCCTGCCATTGCATGTCGCTTGGCGATGCTTTCGACCTTGTCACGGTGAAGGCGGGGTGGAAGCCGCACACCATGATGCTATAATCAGGGTTTTTCGACGAAAAAAAAGAGAGAAATGCTCCCAAAGGTGTCGCCTGAAAGCTGCGAGGTAGCTGGAAGGACTGCTGTAAACGCCTCTGCAGTCTTGCAATCTGCATCGAGCTGAATCTGCTTGATCGGTCACAAAAACAACCCCAGAATATCATGGGTAAGAGCTGAACAGAACATAGAGATCCCTTCATAGATACAAAGAAGAATGCTCAGGCCCACCATGCCAAGAATCTAGAGCTGCAATTCCATGCATCCACCCATTCCACAGTATTCCATGGCTTTGTCCGGCAAAGCACCCCGGCTTTGCCCGGCTTGGCGCAGAACCACTGAGTCGACCCAGACGGCACGGAAACGCAGCCGGGGCCTGTGTGATCGGTGTCCACGAAGAACAGAGACCGCGTCGTGGCATTCTTCAAGGGCCTCGGTGCCGTCGATCTCCGCGGGGAGCAGCTGATCTTTTGAAGCGCCAAGGGCTCGTCACATGCAAGAATCCACAGAAACTCTGGATGCTTCAAAGTAGGTAAGGATGGAAAGGTCATGCCCTCCAAGAGTGGATTGGAAACTGTCTATCCATTTCCGGACCTCTCTATTCTAGCTTACCATGTTCAACTGCCGGTGGAGCTGTGTGTGGACTTGAGGTTGAGCTGCGGCTGTGCACTGCTGATACCACCCACCTGGCACGTTCCAATGACATCGACGTCGTGACAGCTCGAAACCAAACGCCACCGGTGGCCTGCTCCACCCAGATCTCCACATGACCCGGGCGCAAGGCCGTGAGAAAGACCTGCGCCTCGCGTGCGGAGGCGCAGGTCTCACATCGTTGGCATCGAAGTGGGCGACGTGATGAGATTTCTCACACATCCTGGAGGCCAGTCATGCCAAGCCTCACCAGTCCCCCGCATCGAGAGTAGCCCAGTGGACGGCCTCACAAACTGCTGGAGGGAGACCGAACCCGTCAGACGGCAGGTCGAAGCATCAGTTTGGTGGTTGGAATTGCTTTTTGGTTAGCCTTTAATGGAAGCCCCGCAGCGAATTTGCGTCCGCCTCATCTCCATAGCATTGCGCTGAGCAGAGCTGCGCAACATCAGCTGGCCTGCAACTGTCAAAGTCTCTATGTCCGTCCTGAGACCACCGTGGTCTTTCTGGTCCTGAGACCAGCCTTACAGCAAGCACCCTGGTCCTTGCCGAAACTCCATGAAACTCCTGGCACTCGGCGCCTCCCACAGACCGGTTCAATGGCGTCAGGTTCCCAAATTGATCCTGGCACCCGGCGGCCAGACCGATCGGAGCTTCGTTTTCGGAGCGCGCTGGCGCGGCCGGACACTCGGCCGGTCCTTCGTGGTGACGGTCAGCGAAAGCTCCCTTCGCAACGGGAGGCTCGAGCCTGACTCAAAACATGTCTCCCTGTTCAAATACACGCTCACATCAATATGAATGAGTTTATGATACTCACAGGTCGCCGTTCACCTGCGAGTGTGCGCTCCCACCTGTCATTGGAGAGCCAGAATCTGCCCTCAGACGCAAATTCCGATTTCATCAAATCATGCAATCATTCCAAAAAATATGCCAGAAAACAGGATCTGCTGGCAGTCACCTCGTGCATCCAAGTTGCAATTGAAGCTCAATGGCAAAGCTGTGTGAAGGCCCAGACATAAAACGAATCCTTGAGTGACTGTCAGGTGTCTCACCCGCAAACCCGCGGGTGAATAGAAGGACTAACGAAACGACTCATGTTAAAACCAGGAGAAGGACTACCGCGTTGGGTTCACCAGGCTAATCATTGACTACACCATCTCATCCAAGGCTCTGAGACGTATGTAGTAGTACATCAGCCTGTCCACGCTGTGGACAGAATGCGTGAGAACAGGAACGACGGAACGACCTATCCTCGCCTCTGGGTCAGGGCTTTCTATGCGAACTTCAGCATCTATGACCTGCTCAAAAGAGGAGACCTTCATCTCATCTAAGACTTTGAATTTCCTGATTGAAACGAAACAAAGACCTCCGCCAGCTCATTCTCGATGTGAAATTCCAGCTGCCCCAAGCGCCAAGCCAACGGCAAAGAAGCCTTCAGAACACTTTATCCACACAAGCGCAAGCTGCTGGGAGAGCAAGAACACAATGTAAACACCAAATGGGGTTTCCAAATCTCAGCAAATCACGCCAGACAAATGAGCTTTCCCAGACAAATCCACGCCCACCTGAGCTGGCAAAAGCCCTGGGAGCGCGCAAAGGCATTGTCTCAAGAAACAGGAGGAAGTCGTTTCTGTAAAGGCCCAGTGCATTCTCAAACGATGCAAAGTGAGCCCTTCCTCCTCCCAAATGGGCGTTCTGTCAAAGCCGTGACACACCCTGGTTGCTGAAAGTGAACGACTCCCTCAAGAGGGGATGTTACCCTTCCAAGGTTTGTAGGTGAGATTTTGACCACGCAAGCCATCGAGAGCGTCCATCTCCCCAAGGCCGCCCAGCTCGCAAGGCATCACAGGCCGCGGGCCTCGCCTGCGAAGAAACGCTGCGATAACAAAACGTGGCGGCATGGAGACGTCTGACCAACATGGGTCTGCAACATGGTGTCAGAATGTTCCAAGTCCGCACATCAGCGATCTTATTGCCATCTGGATATCAGCTTCGTCCAACCTTCGCTGCGGTCGGAGATGTCGATCGGCTTCGGTGTGTGATTTTGAAGGCACGGGCCGTATCTTCATCTTACCACGCAGAGGTGTGTAGGTATCCGAAGATCGTGGCACAGATCTTAAATCCCCAGTCGGTGTTCGACATGTCTCATGTCGCTGGCCTTCCATGTTTTCGACCTTTCCAGGAACCCCTTTTAAGACCTTTTCAGACACAAAAACACCGAAGAACTCTTGCTACACCTCCACAATACTTCCCCCCCGCCCCCAACGTCACGGCGCGGGACCCCCACGCCTGGCGCCCCCGCGAGTCCCGTGCCAGCAAGACGGTGCGAAAGGGCTGCCCTGCCACGGCCTGGGGGTGCTTGAACTTGGAGGTGTCAGGCCGTGACAAGTTCATGATCTGGTTCTCCAGATAGAAATTCAGTCAGACTGCAGACTGCAGAAAGCCAGTGTTGGCTCAATCCTGCACGCATGGACGAGACGAAGAAAAAGGCCGATTTAGGAAGCGTAGTTACCTGAGACGGTGTGAAGTGCACACCTGCCATAGCCGCTATAGCCCTCACTTCAGTTCTGAGTGGAAGTCTTCCACCATTCCAAGGGATTTTGGACCCTGGCCAAGTTGGCATTATATGGCATGATTCACCAGGCAACCTCGACCTAGGAGTTGCTTCTGTTTTTCGGTCAAGTCAGGTGAACAGCCCAACTGGGCTCATGAAAAGGCAGCAGCAGGCAGCAAATCCATGGTTCATTGAGGTCAGGGTTCCAAGTGGCCAAGGTCATTTCTCCTCGAACATTGCATTTTTCAGGAAGACCTCGAACCATGGGAGGCTAGCGGCTAGGGCAACTGGCAGATCCGGTAGATCCATGAATTTAGGTTGACTCAGTTCAGAGAATCTCGCTGTGCAACTTCAGTGTCAAGGCGGTGAAAATCCTGGCAGACATGTCAAAAAGAAGTCCCAAAGATCCCCTGGAAGAGTGACAGAAAAACACAGACCCAAACCCATCGGTTGGAGGGTCTCCCTGTTTGTATACGCTTCACCCAATTTGGGTGTTTTCCTCTGCTTGACCTCGGCTCTACATGTGACCGGACCGGCCCCCGGCATCTTCCCTAACCAGACCTTCTCAGTGCTGTCCAAAAACAGCCATCGAAACCTGGGCTGGCGAAGCTGTTGTTGCGGCGAAAAACACGCGGCGATCATGGTTGGTTGTTTCTGAAGGCTGTGTTCAATTAATTCGGACTTCTGCAGGAGTTTTTCAAGCTAAAATTCCAGCAAGTGAGTTCTTAGGGTGCTTTAAGGTATTATCTATATAACTCTTCAGCTCTTGCGGGTTTTTTCTCACATGCTATGCTGGTTGGTGCACAGTGCCGCGTCAGCGG